ATGATTCTCAGGACATTCAAGAGTTGTATGAAGCATTATCCAATGGTCAAAAATCTTTGACGCAATCTGACATTTTCGCCCACCTCGATTTCCTGTGGGGAAATAATGTAAACACTTTGGTATACAATAAAATTCTGACTTTCATGAAACAGCATAGATAATAAATTTAAAAGTAATTTAAAAGTAATTATTATTATTTTTTGCAAGTAAGTTTGTGTTTAATGTTTGCTTTTCTATTGTTTTTTAAAAAGTTATTATTGTTTGTTAATAAAGTTATAAGTCAACACGAGTTTCCTTCTGCCGCTCTTTAACTACAACTTGCTATCCAAAATATATTAATATATTCACTGGAAATATATTGGAAATATATACAGAAATTTTTAGTAACATCTCTCGAAGAATAATAAATGTTCGAAATTAAAATTTAACGCTCTCTACTTTCTTCCCTCTAATAACACAAATATTTCTATCGATCCATCGAAGATTTTAGCTAGATTTTAGAACTAAGCTAGAACTAAGTGAACTTAAAAATTCAAAAGTGCAGTTGTCGCGATATTTTTTTTTCTTTTTTTTTTATATAGTTTTTTCTGCCAAGCCAAAATAGCTTGAACTTTATCGAAATGCAAATGTATGTCTGTAGAAAGTCTAACTTTTTTCTGTATAAAAGTCCATAAATGAAAATCACAGAAATTAAATTTGATAGCGATATCTTCGTTCCGATATTTTCATTATATATCTTAAAAAATTGAGTTGAGTAAAAAGTAATTTCATGGTGCAAAAGTGAAACAAGTTATTTGCATATTTTAAACGAAATTTATTAAACCATGTACGTGCCGTTCGACTGCCTTTTGCCAATTTTGAGGTGAAGCCATAATCGCGTCACTATAGAACTGTGATTTCTAGCCGAAAAAACTGCGACATATGATTTTCACAGTCCTCTTTTAAAGTCAACTTTACACCATTAAGAGAGTTCTGTAGAGATCGAAACAGATGATAGTTTGATGATTCGAAGTCTATGTGGTGGATGCATCGAAACTTTCGAGCCAAGCTCTTTCAATTTTTCACGGAGTTGCAGAGAAATTCGATTCATTAAATTTTTCAGTGTTAAATCGTGTGGTACCCAAACATTGAGCTTTTTTGTACCTAGCCTTCTCTAAATTATTTAGAACTGTTTTAGTCGATGTTTAGTTTTGTACCAATATGACTGTTAATGTGTCGGTTTTGCTCAATTTTTTCTTTGATTTCATCGATTTATCCAGTGATTAGTCGACTAGAGCGAGGTACATCTTTGACATCAAAATTTCCAACTTTGTGTCAATCATACTGATACTGCGTCATGTCCATAAACATCACAAATATTTTTAGTAGTCTAACTTCTTTTTTTGTAATAAAATTTCAAAATGTATCGATTTTCTTCTCTAATTTCACTCATTTTCAAGACGCAATAACCTTCCTACCTTTCAGTTGTAACTTTCACTCGACGATTTCACTGAAACTTTGTTGATAAGTAAATTGGCAGTTCAATTTTCTGGGCAATCTACTGTTATTTAAATTACATATTTATATATAATACAATTTATATAATATATGCCAATAAAAACTCCTGAGCTAATATATGCTAATAAAAACTTATTGAGATAAGTTTTGAAATTTAAATGAGATTTATTTTTAAAAGTAGACCTCGACTTCCAACAATGTGAACTATGTGCTTTCTACATAAAATCGTGTCTCTCGCCAAGTCTATTCGTTTCTAAAAGTAAACGATAGCAATTGCTTATTATATACGTATAAAAAATAATTTTTCTCGCAGAAGGAAAAAGTAATTGGATATGTTAATTGATAAATTTTATTTTGGACATCTTATTTCGCCTTTCATCAAAGCCGTACGTAAAGTATTTACAAATCTATATAAATGTGAGACAAATAGTAAACAAATATTTAGAATTTTAGTAAATTTGAGTAATTTTTACAAATTTACAAATCAACTAATAAATATCAGATTTCTCTTAACTAAATTGATCTTAATTACATTTATAATACGTATTGACATTGTACTTATTTATTCATATTTACATGCTTTCAAGCCGTGCGAGTAATTAATCAAAATTTTATATCCAGCATTAGAAATCCTCACTTTGGTCGTTTACGTGCATTTTCTCCACGCATGAAAAAGGTACAGAATTGAAAATTTATAAAAAAAATACAGATCATACACTGTAATATCAAACAAAGAATTGTCATTCTAATAGTCAGACTGGTGATGCTGATATATATCCTTGGGACAGAAAAATAATACGTTTAAAAATTTTTAAATTTCATGTTATTGAACGAATGATATAAAATCATTCTTATATACGTAGTACTTTTACGTATTACTTTTATCAACATGTATAAGTAACATAAATAAGCTTTTTACAATAATTTTTATGTTATTAAAAAAAAAATTGAAATATAGTAATTTTCAGCGAGTCAAAGTGATAACACATTTCATGAGAAACAGTAGATAGAAACGGAAGGAACGACTTTGATAATTGTCTGAATGATTCTAAATGACTTCCCTTGCGTTTCATAACGGCAGCCATTTTTTGAGGCAAAGATTTATTGGCTTAGCTCTTATTGATACATTTTTTTAAATACATTGACAATTACGAGTTGTCTTCCATTCCGGTATCTCCCAAAATTCCCTCAACAATTTCCTACAATATTTAAATCCGGAGACTTGGCTGGCCATTCTGAAACACGAATTTCTTTGATTGTAAAGTATTTTTTTATTGCTTTCGCAATGTATCATGTGTTTAAAAAAATACTTATTTCCTTAAACTGCATTTCGTATGGGATGCATGTTAATGTGTGCATCAATCATTTCAATATACTTTTTTACTACTTAATTGTTCTGTTTTTACTACTTAATTTTATTTCCACCTCACCGTACTAATCAATTCCTTTTCAAATCATTATGCCGCCGCTTCCCATGCGATTGCGCAATATTTAGATTATCGTTTGTACTTTTGAAAAATTGTACCTCGGCGATGACTATACATAGATACTATACATAAATTATTCAATACACTGTGTATAAATTCACGTCCAAAAATACTGATGTAATAATCAACGCATTTTCTCTGCGGTATATAATACATGAAAATTTGGAGTGTATTACTTTTTTGTCTGGGGGAGTACATGCAGTATGTCCTTTTTAAAAACGTTATTACCTACTCTTGTTACTACCTTTGTCACTATCAGAAATACGAAGATATTTGTCAAATGTTGTATGTATTGTATGCAACGGGGTATATTAAGTAGATAATATTTTGACATTGCGACAATATTCAATTGTCTTTTGTGTCACATTTAAATTTTTATATAGAAGCCATGTTTTGCTGCCCGGTGCAACTGATATCAAAACATACTCAAAATATTTGTTACTAATTATACTTCCATATTTCATAAACATTTGTTGTGTAGATAGCTCAATTTTCACGTTATCCACAACAAGGTGGCTTGATAATCTTCGTTATTAAATGAAAATTTATAATTTGTTGCACTCCAGTTACGCGCAGGAATAATTACTTATATAACCTGAGACGAATAAGGTAGCTGGAAAAAAAAAGGAATTTCAGCTCCCATTACAACAACGAATTTTTGACAAAAAAATGACATGTTGAAGCATAATCGGATTTAGGATATACTGTTTGTTGTGAAATATATGCATACATATTCCTAACTTGATTTTTTTTGAAACTATCATGATAAACAAAATTCGATCGCAGTAAATGTGATTCACTACTGGATACAATAGTTGTAAATTTTTAGAGTTAGTAATAAAATGTTGTCTTATTCAAACATTTAAATATGACCTTCACGAGATTATTCATCGTTCGTATGTCATCTTCGATAACCTACATTTTTCAAATGAACCATTTCTTCGCGTTTCTGATACAGAAATAACGTGTAGGCACTTAGAATGAACATAGTGTATATTTTTAATCGACAATTGATTTGGTAGTCGATAACTGATAGCGATATAATTCGCTATTTTTTTTAGAAATATACCATCTGAGAATATATAAATAAGATGTTTCGTTTATCTCATAAAAAATTAAGATTGTAATAAAAATGTTCGTGCAAAAGGGCAAATTATGCGTTAATCTGGGTGCTATAGATTGCATGTTCGAGATGATTTTTCTAATGATACCAAACAAATTTGAATGCATCGATTTATTGGAAAATTCTCTATACGAAAGAATTAACCTACTTTTTGGTTAAAAAACGGTTT